CATAGCATCATTCCACTTGTTTTTAATCATTCTAAGTTCACCATTAATTTCATGAACCATTTATATAAACAACACCTGTGATAACAACTACTTATAGAAAACCTACAAATACGATGTGTTTTTTGCACTATGAATTTGATCACCCTTTACACCTAAAACCTAATATTATTTTTAATCAAGCCCTGAGATATAATGAATTTATATTTGAAAACAATATCCTAATAAAAGAGCTCAAGACCTTAGCACAAGTTGCAATAGTTCGTGTGTATCCCATAGAAGTCATAAACACTATTATTAACTTCTATTAAAAAAGCTTTAGGTAATACTCAACACCAACTTTTATATGAGAAAAGTAAAGAAGAAAAGACAGGGTCTTATACCTTATAACAATAAAATAAGTAAAATGAAGAACATAATTCGTAAACATTGCACTTGGTAAGAAATAACAAGGATATGAAAACAATATGGCCATCAAAAACAACTGTTATTTTTACCAACACTAAATCGATAAAAGACACTTATTTTACCTGTTATACTGTTTTATGTTTGCTTACTATTTTATTTTTTATTTTATATATCATTTATTGTATGTTTTCATAAAATTATTATATATGACCTTTTTATATTGTATCATTTTTTTTTAGCTCCGAAGGCCTTAAACAGAATAGCTTTACAGAATAAATTTCATTATATTGTGGCATGAGTAAATAAAAATGTCAAGAATATATTTGCACCCAATGAAAAGTTTAGCAAATAAATGCTGTTAAAAAAACATTTAAAAGGTTAACTCATTTGCTACCAGCCGTTTTATATATATATATACATATATATATATATATATATATATATATATATATATATATATATATATATATATATATATATATATATATATATATATATATATATATATATATATATATATACATATATATATATATATATATATATATATATATATATATATATATATATATATATATATATATATATATATATATACATATACGTATATATATATATATATATATATATATATATATATATATATATATATATATATATATATATATTTATTTATATTAAATGAATAAAAACAACTTTTGATGGAACTCTGAGTTTCATGCCTTTCGGCAATTATCAGCCATTGTGTATTTTTTCACTTAAAAAACCGTTTAAAATTACAAACTAAAAATTATGGGGGAATGAGTTCTGACGTTACAAAAACAAAACAAAACAAAAAGACGTCAAAGGTTTTAGTCCCTGGTATCGAATAAGGATAGTAAAAATTTTTTTGAATGCCGGCACTTTGATATTATTTTATATCTTTTATTAATTAAGTTTTCTCCTTTATATGATTACAAACTTTTGATGCTTGATTGTAGGGCTTACATCTTCCATGTAATCACAGGATTTATATGTTTCGATTTTAGGTCCTATATTTCTTTGGAAAGTTCAGTGTCATTTTTTATATTTGGGTGCATTAAAAAACTTAAGATGGTTGGCATATCTTAATTTAAATGTGGTTTCACTTATACAGAAATAAACTTTATCTTTGAATTGAGGATCTCCAGAACTTACAGTGGCTTGGTATACAATACTGCTAAAAAGACATTGGTTATTTAATGGACAAATTTTTTTGTCTATGCAGTTACATTTTTTTGATGTTTTTTTTTATCGCTTTGTAAAATTTTGTTATTATGTGCATTTATTAAAGACTTGATATTAGGCATGCAACTACAGCTTATAACTTTAATATAGTTTTGATTAAAAATTTTATGAAGCCTGTGTCCTACTGGAAAATGTTGGTCAATTAAAGCTAAAAAGCGACTTCCAATTTTAGTTTCAACATTTTTGCTAAACGGAAGGTTGTACCATATTATTTTACGCTTGCAATGTTTATTTTGATTTTTGTTTATTTAGACACACACACACACACACACACACATATACTAGGTTGGTTGAAAAGTTCGCGGAGCGGCACCTATGTTGCAGTAGTAGAAACAAATTTATAACTGTATTAAACGTATTCATTCTTCGTATGAACGCATAAAAAATTTCAAGTCGATATGTCATTTCAGTCTTTGTTTACAAGCTATTGAAATTAGACGTGTCATAGTATTTTTTAAAATGGAAAATATTGAACATCGTGCTGTAATAAAATTCTTTGTGAAAAAAGGTTTAAAGCCCATGGAAATTCATAATGAAATGGTAAATGTGTTGGGTGATGATGCTCCTTCAAAAACAACAGTATGCAAATGGGCTGCGGAGTTTCAACGTGGGCGTTCAAGCCTTGAAGATGACCCTCGCTCTGGACGTCCAAAAAGTGCTACTACTGAAGAAACGATTAATGCTGTGCATGACATGGTTATGGATGATAGACGATTGACCAAACGTGAAATTGCTGAGGCTGTGGGCATCTCAGATGAACGGGTATTACACATCTTGCACGATGAATTACGTCTGAGAAAGCTGTTGGCAAGATGGGTGCCGCATTCGCTAACTCTGGATCAGAAACGCACTCGAGTAAAACTTTCTCAAGAACATTTGGCCCGTTTTCAAAAGAATAAAACAGATTTTGTGCGTCGATTCGTAACCATGGATGAGACTTGGGTTTACCACTATGATCCGAAGCTGCGACAACAAACTGCAGAGTGGACAGAACCCGGTTGTTCAGCTCCGAAGCAAGTGAAGGCGTCAAAATCGTCAAAGAAGGTTATGGCATCAGTTTTTTGGGATGCGAAAGGAATTTTATTAATAGATTACCTTCAAACCGGTAAAACGATAACAGGTGAATATTATAAAATTCTTTTGGACCAGTTGGATAAAAAAATTCGTGAGAAAAGACCTGGTTTGCTGCATAAAAAAATCATTTATCACCAGGACAACGCACCTGCTCATATCAGCGATGTTGCAAAGGCGAAATTGGTCGAATTAAAGTACGAACGCTTGGAACATCCACCCTATTCACCAGATCTGGCTCCGTCCGACTTCCACCTCTTTCCACATCTCAAAAAATTTCTACGTGGAAAGCGTTTCTCATCACATGAAGAAGTCATTGCAGCCGTAAATGGGTATTTTGAAGGCCTTCCGGAATCGCACTTCAGAGATGGGATACATGAATTGGAGAATCGTTGGAAAAAGTGTATTGCTCTTAAGGGAGAATATACTGAAGAATAAAGTCATTTTTTGAATCATAAAATTGTTTTTTCATTTCCGCTCCGCGAACTTTTCAACCAACCTAGTATATATATATATATTAAAAATGGTTTGCTTATATTTAACATATTGTTTAATTTTTTTGTGCCTTTTTAGACGTTTTATGGTGTAGTAGCTTTGTTGTTATTGTCTTTGTTGCTATATTTTACTTTAACTTTATTTTACTTTTGATTGGTTAGCAAAATTTGATCTATGTATCTATGACAGCATGAGGTGTTAGTAAACTTTGTATTTGGTTTTGTTATTTTTTCAATTTTACATAGGTTTCTTTTCAGCTTGAGTGTATTTTTCCAAAAGTACTTTTTGGAAAAATACACTCAATACATTTATTTATTTAGACAAATTTTTGACCAGTGATAAATGTTTATTTTAACTTTTTATTTTTGTGTTATAATATTTTGTATTTTGATATAATTATTTTTTATTTTGTGATGTTATTTGATTTTGAATTCAAATTTCTTACTTTTAATATTACTTCATTAAAAATCTTTACAATTTTGGGTGTAGTTAGGGTTTTAGCTGCTTGTAGTTAAGTCCTTTTTTACTGCAGTATGGAGTAGGCGTAAATTGCAGGGTAAAGCATAAATGGCAATGATGTTTATCTGATGGGATAAACTAGGTATTGGTGCTGAGCCTCTTTGAAACGCCGGGAATAATAAACTTGATTCTGAGGAGAGTTTATTACCACCACTACATAAATTATGATTACACAAAAGCAATAATGTTTTTTCTTTATCTTATACCTCCTATCATTTTTATTTCTTTATCTAAATAAGTATATCTATGTATATTTTTTATAAAGTTAAACTTTTGTATTTAATCAAGATTTATAGCTGCTTAAGTGTTCTGTTTCGTTTTAGGTATACTTTAACAACAAAATTACTGTTTTCTATGATTATTGCTTTTTCTACTTAAAGTAAATCTGTGTTTATTTTGAACATGTTCTTTTTTTGTTTTTAATTACTTATCCTCCTTTATTTTTTTAATAGAAATGTTTCTCTGCTTTTATTGCTCGGTGTAGTTCAAGCTGCATTACCTGCATCAAGCAGATTACCTGCATCAAGCAGATTACCTGCATCAAGCAGATTACCTGCATCAAGCAGATTACCTGCATCAAGCAGATTACCTGCATCAAGCAGATTACCTGCATCAAGCTGCATTACCTGCATCAAGCAGATTACCTGCATCAAGCTGCATTACCTGCATCAAGCAGATTACCTGCATCAAGCAAATTACCTGCATCAAGCAGATTACCTGCATCAAGCAGATTACCTGCATCAAGCAGATTACCTGCATCAAGCAGATTACCTGCATCAAGCAGATTACCTGCATTAAGCAGATTACCTGCATCAAGCAGATTACCTGCATCAAGCAGATTACCTGCATCAAGCAGATTACCTGCATCAAGCAGATTACCTGCATCAAGCAGATTACCTGCATCAAGCAGATTACCTGCATCAAGCAGATTACCTGCATCAAGCAGATTACCTGCATCAAGCAGATTACCTGCATCAAGCAGATTACCTGCATCAAGCAGATTACCTGCATCAAGCAGATTACCTGCATCAAGCAGATTACCTGCATCAAGCAGATTACCTGCATCAAGCAGATTACCTGCATCAAATATAATAAAAATTTATGTTTATTAAAAGCTTATTATAACTACTTCATTTTACACAATTAAACATTCAACATTTCATTACTTTTACATTCAACTTTTCATCACTTTATAACCAACTCTAATTAAAACTACTAAAATTAAAAAAATGATAGATATTTACCTTGCCACCTCCAAGAGACGAAAACTAATAGAATTTGCTTCATTTTCTTGGAATCTTTCAAAAGAAGATTTATTTTATGTTAAAATTTTTATTTAACTTAATCAAAATAAACTTATCAAAAAAAAAAGAAAAAAAAAGAGAAATAGTACCTCATCATTTTTAATGTTCTAAAGAAAAAAAGTAATGTAATAAAATAATTTATATATATGTATATATATATATATATATATATATATATATATATATATATATATATATATATATATATATATATATATATATATATATATATATATATATATAGACATACAGCACTATTAAAAATATTGATGGACAAAACACAAACAATTTAATACTTTGTGGCAGCACCCTTATGTTTAAGCACCAGTTTTAATCTCTTTAGCATAGAGTCTACTAGTTTTTTACCCAATTCAATAATTATTTCAGTGTACCAAACTAGTTTCAAGCAATACATGAGATCCTGCATATTTGATGGAGCATGGATTACCACTTTTCTCTTTATGATACGCCAAAGATTCTTAACTGAATTTAAGTCAGGAGAGTTTCCAGGCCAGTCTAGAAGCTTTATTTTGTTTTTCTTAAGCCAGGTGGTTATGGCTTTAGTGATATGACACAGAGCTGAGTCCTGCTGAGATGTATTACACTTCTGTATTGCCATGATGGGTTTCAGCTTGTTTTCAAAAATTGTCTTGTACTTGGTTGTGTTCACAGTTTCCCCTTTTGGAATCAAATGTATGCTGGCACGGCTAGCAGCAGACATTCGTCCCTAAACCATGATTTTTGGTAGATGTTTCAGGGTTGGCATGATGTAATGTGGTTCATACCTTGCACTGGATGGATGTCAAACTCCAGTAACCCAAACACCAAACTGGAAAAACATTGACTCATCACTGAAGAGTACTTTTCCCCACTGAACAGGCATCCAATGTAAGTCTATTTTAAGTGTCCATAATCATCAATTATATATTAGTTTCATAATAATAGATAAAAATAGAAGTTTAATCAATTGGTTTTATAAAACCACTATATATTTTAAAACAGTATTTTTATATCGATGTTTTGTTAAAATGCTTGATTATATTATTATATTTTTATATTATTATTGTGTATTTATTTAATAACTAAATTATTGAATAAATCTAAAAATGAATAAAAAAAACAAACATTAGTATGAAACTTTTTGGAAATGCAAACCTGTTTTTCTGCCTTTTTATCGCTACAAAATCAAATATTTTCTCTCTTTCTCTTTAAATATGTATATATGATTTACATACTTATTAGATGAAAACAAAGCAGCTGGAATCGATGATATTTCTCCTTATATTTTAAAAAACTGCAGTTCTGCTCTTAGCCTGCCACTTAGTTTATTATTTATCAAAGCATACAACACTGGAACTACACCACAACTATGCAAACAAATAAATATTACACCGATTCCAAAAAAAGGGAAGAAAAATGATCTAATAAATTATCTATCTCATCATCATTAGTTATAAGTAAAATAATACAAAAACTAATAAAAGATGACATAACAAGTTACTTAAACCTACATAACTTAATAGCTAAAGAACAACATGGATTCACAACAGGTAAATCAGTAATCACAAATTTACTTGAATCAATAGATGTAATAACCGATGCTTTAAACAGTGGATTCTATGCTTTAGTGGTTTACCTTGACTTAGCTAAAGCATTTGATACAGGAGATTTTACATTTTACAGGAGATCATAAACTACTAATTGCTGAAATAAAAACTTATGGTTTTGACAAAAAAATTTCCAACTTTCTCTCAAACAGGTATCAAAGGGTTGTAATTAATAATGAAGTATCTGAATGGCTCTCAGTATTAAGTGGTGTACCACAAAGCGAAGTTTTATCTCCACTTCTATTTAACCTATTAATTAATGACATGCCTGAACTAGTTCACAATACCTGCAAGCTATTTGCTGATGATAGTAAGTTAATTGCTGTAATCAAAAACCAGAAAGATCATAAAATATTACAAGATGATCTCAATAAAATATTTGAATGGACAAATAATAGGAACATGAAATTAAATTATGAAAAAGGCAAAATTATAAAAGTTTACAGTACCAAATCAAAAAAGTTAATTGACCAAATAAATCAAGCTGTCCCACTATACATACCAACCCACAATGGAACAATCATCAAATTAAATGAAACAACACAGGAATGTGACCTAGGTATCAACATAAACAATAATCTAAAATGGAAAGACCACATCACAACAATAACCAATAAAGCTTACTCAAAACTAGGTACACTAAAGAGAACATTTAAATTCAAGTCAATTGACTCTTTTACTAAACTATATACAACTTATGTTAGACCTGAATTAGAGTTTTGTGTACCAGTTTGGAATACACATTTAAAAAATGAAATAAAAAAACTTAAAAAAGTTCAGCAAAGAGCTACAAAGCTTGTCCCAGGTCTCAAGCAAACTGGTGTCATCCAAATTCAAAAACCTTTTCTTAAACTCTAAAAGGTCCATCTTCTAATATTAGAGGAGAACCACACAAAGAGTACAGAGAGTTTACTAAACACAGTTACCGTGAAAATATCTTCAGCAACAGAATAGTTTACATTGGAATAATTTACCAAATAACTTAGTAACGTAAAAACAGTTAACGAATACAAGAAAAAATATGATGTCTTAACAAAAACAAATAATTAACTAATTGCTATAGTAGGATTACAATAATCCTACTCTGCAAAGGTTTGTAATATCTATGCTGGAGAAATAAATAAATGTGTATATATATATATATACATATAAATATATATATATATATATATATACTATATATATATATATATATATATATATATATATATATATATATATATATATATATATATATATACATATATATACATATATATATATATATATATATATATATATATATATATATATATATATATATATATATATATATATATATATATATATATATATATATATATATATATATATATATATATATATATACATATATATGTATACATATATATATATATATATATATATATATATATATATATATATATATATATATATATATATATATATATATGTATATATATATATATGTATATATATACATGCCTCAGCGGGAATAAATGAGTACAAGAGCAGAAAAAAGCTCTCCTAAAACGAACTTGGGGAGCTGTACCAGCTGCCCCTCATTTAAATCGACGCTCTTTTTCAATTTTAATTTTTTTTCTCGCATCAACCGTGCCTTTTAAAAAGCATTTCAGTATATTATGCAATTAATTTTTCCTAAATGACATTGTTTTTTTTATTTTATTTAAAATGATAATTATACTTTAATGAGAAAAATTATACTTTTGCGAGAGACATAAATAGCCCTCGTAAACCGTTTCAGGAGAGTGTAGGCGAGAGCGAGAATTTCCCGCTGAGGCCTTTGTATATATATATATATATATATATATATATATATATATATATATATATATATAGCTGAACAATCTAAATATAACAATATAAAATACAAATAAATGACAATAAAAGGCAAAAAAACTTTTTATACCTGAGATCTGGTAAGTTAGCGCGAGCAATAAGTTGCTTCTATATTTTTTGAAATAAAAATAAAAAATAAAAAAATAATTTATTTAAAGGTTTAACAATAATACATCACAAACCTAGTATTACCTTTTTTAACTCAGTGATACAAGAGTGGTATATTGTAAATATTGCATGCAACGAAGGAGGACCAATGTATTGTTTAATATCTGCTCTAGATATTGTGAGGAAATAAATTCAGCAATTAACATCAATAACTCTCAAATTTTTTTAAATTAAAAAATATCAAAATACCGGTCTACAAATGCTAGATCAATTGCTCCTGTTATATTTGATGTTGTAAGTATCATAACGTTAGGGAATCTTAAATAAAAAAATTAAATTCAATAAACTTATCAGGATCTACTTTATATACATATTTATATATATATAATTCTACAATTCTCCAACCTTCTAATATTATCAATTTGTGTTAGAAGTGCATTAACTACTCTTATGGCATCTGAGGGTTCAGCTCCTTTCATAGCTGCTGTGCGAGCTGCTGTCAAGCTTTCAACCTATTAGTATTTTTAATATTTTACTATTACAATATTTTTACAGAAGTATGCATAAATATATAAATATAAATATATATATACAAATGTATATATATATATAAATATATATAAATATATATATATACATATATATATGTATATATATATATATATATATATATATATATATATATATATATATATATATATATATATATATATATATATATATATATATATATATATATATATATATATATATGTATATATATATATATATATATATATATATATGTATGTATGTATATATACACATAGAATACTAAAATAGCCAGCTACAGGGGACTTCATTACATACATTGACTGACTCAAAAGATCACATGCAAAGAGTGCCACTACATAGACTAAGGGTTTGGGTTGGAACAGCAATTCTTTTTCTTTCATTGTTCTCTGTTTTATCTTTTTTTTTCTCGAAAAAGCTGTATTGAATTAAGCAAAAAAAGTTTGCAAAAATAATTCTAAAATTCTAAAATAAATAAATTCTACCTATTTAGTTAGCTTATGTACTGAAGCCCAACAAGCAATTTTAGTATGATGTCAAACTTATCTAAACATGCAATATAAGTTGCATATTTAAATAAGTCTTATAGAACAGAGCAATAATTATTATTTTTTTTTTATTGGGTGGCACTGCTTATAACATGATAAATATCTTACTGAAAGTGCCACAAAACTTATAATAGTTAAGTTAAAAAGTAAGTTTACCTCATCAATTAAAACAAAAACTAAGGATTCTGGGTCATCAATAAGTTCTTGAATTCTTTGAAACATTTTTTGAACTAATTTTCCACTCTAAAAAAAATTATTAAAAAAAACTTCTGAAAGATTCAAATACTGATGTTTTGAAAACTTTAGATGATTGAACAGTTATTACAAAAAAATTTTTACTGTTAAAAATGTGGTATTGATGTGTATGGGAGATTTGATTGATATTTTTATGAAAACATCTATTATGTCAGTCAACATTTATGATGTTGAGCAAATTAACTTTATCAACTTTGAAAAAAGAGTTAATGACTAAAAAAATGTCTAAAAAAAGAACAAAGTAATAGTAAAAGAACAAAGACCACTAATGGTCACAAATAAGCAGTGAATGACTTGAGGAAAGAATAAAATTTATAAATTATTTTGAACAGAGTAAATTTAAAAAAACTAAAATTACTTTTTTTTTTTCTTATAAAATAAAAAGACGTTTAGAAGAGCAGCATAAATTATAATAAATTATAATTATTTAAAGACATTAAAAACATATAAATTATTTATATACCAAATATATATTTTTTATATACCTAGTTTATATACTTACCAAAACATGTATAATATAAAATAAAAACACAAAATTAAAACACAAATGTTCAGATATAACAAAGCTTTAAATCAAACTTTTTTCAAAAAGAAAAAATCACATCAAACCACTACAACAACTTTATTTCAAAAAAAAAATTGAAAAAAATATAAAAGTAAACTAAAAAGAAAGTGTTTAAGTCTATTAAAAACATACTTACATTAATGTCTAGAAGAGCTGTCATATAATCTCAGAGGCAGATTAACAGATAAGCAAGATCAAGAGGCAACTTTCCAACTTGCTTTCCAGACAATCCCAATAATTTACCTTTTCTACTCAATTTACATCTTGTTTCTGATCAATGTGTTCAGTTGATTGCGGTTTAATCTCTCTAAAACTATTATCTCATTCATCTTCATCATCAGAATCTCCATATTATTGTATTATTGTATTTCTTACAACTATGTTAAAGTGAAACTCTTTTTATGATTTTCTTTGTGATGGACATTGGGTAGAAATCTTTCCTGCTGAAAATGTGCTTCTTATGTAACTTCTTAGATTCAGGCTGGCATAAAACATTTATTTATAATAAACTTTTATTCTCCTTATTAAACCATTACTTTGGTCTATCAGCGAAAGAATTCTCCAGAAAATAGGTGCCTGTTTACTATTGTTAGAAACTATTGTAAAAAGGTTTTGTTTAATGCCAAAGCCCGGTATTCTCAGGTTATAAAATCTAGTATTTTATTTCAAAAAACAGGCTCTTGTGACTTCTGGAGAATCTTTAATAGTATCTATCTCGCATGGTTCAGATTTAGTCACCTAAAGATAAAGCTAAATTATTTGCTGAAAACTTTTTATTAATATCATCTCTTGATTCCATTAGTTGCGTTCTATCTGATTTTGCCATCAAACAGGTTGATACATTGCTTGACATTTATATCACTCTAGCTTCTGTATCTAAAGTGATTTCCTGCTCAGACTCTTCTACAGCTTATGGTCCTGACAACATACCAGCTATAGTCTTGCAGAAGTGTTCTCCAGAGCTGTCATCTATACTTTCGAAACTGTTTAACAAGTGCTTATCAACAAGAATCAGTGCTTAGTTTTCCAGTCTTGTTTTCCAGCCTGCTGAAAAGCAGCATCTGTTATCTCTATTTTCCAAAATTCTGGAGAGCGATCAGATTCATCTAACTACCGTCCCATTAGTTTTCTTCCTATCATAAGCAAGATTTTTGAATCTTTAATTTACGATAACTTACTTTCTGATCATCAATATCGATTTCGATCTTCTCATTCTATAGCTGATTTGCTAACAGTAATAACTGATAAGTTTTATTGTGCATTAGATAAATGTGGAGAGGTTAAGGCTATCGTTCTTGACATTTCTAAAGTATTTGATAAAGTTTGGCATGCTGGTCTTTTCCGTAAGCTTTCTTCTACCGGTGTATCTGGAAACATCTTTAAGATTATTGAATCCTTCCTTACCAATCATAGTATTAAAGTTGTCCTTGATGAACAGCACTTTTCTTCATATCCTGTCACTTCAGGGGTTCCTCAAGGTTCTTTCCTTGGCCGTATACTTTTTTTAGTTTACATTAACAATCTCCCAGAAATTCTCACATCTAAGGTGGCATTGTTAGCTAATGATACTACCATTAGTTTTGATAAGAAGCTAACACTCTCTGATTGCTTGAAAGGGGCAATTGAATTTAAAAAGGATCTCACTTCTGTTACAGTATAGGGCTCAGTGGCTGGTGAGCTTTAACTCAAGTTAATCAACTCAGCTCATCGTTATCGCAACAATCCAGATCTTCATATATTTATGAATAGTAATATACTTATTGAGTCATCTACCTTTTGTCTTCTAGAATTAACTCTTATTTCTTATTATACTTAGCACCTGCTAAGGTTGCATCTATTTATCATGCATACCAGTTACTTACTCCGGATTCTAATCTTTATCTCTATAAATCTCTTATCTGTCCTGGGAAATCTAGAGCAAATCTTAAAACTATCCCCTTTCTCTTTAAGACAAGGTGCAAAAATTGTAAACATAGTTGGATCTGATCTTGCAGCCAACCTTCAACTATTGTAACATCTTTTTAAAATTGCTTCTCTTTCACTTTTCAATAAATACTATAATGGCTGCTGTTCTAAAGAGCGAGCATCTCATTTGATATTTACTAAATTTTATTCTCATGTTACTTGTCATTCAATGAAGTCCTATACCTTTACTGTGACTGTTCCTAAGTGCTCCAAAAATTCTTATTTATCTAGTTTTTTTCCTCAAACATCAGTCTTTTGGAATTTGCATCCTTCATCTTGTTTTCCTAATTCATATAACTTGCAATATTTTAAGTCCTCTGTTAATCGTTATTTTGCTCTACAAACTTCATCTTTTATCTTCTAGTAACCTCTAACTCTAATATTGGTTTCTTACAGCCTTGTTCGAAGTAAAGGAGTTAAAAAAAAAAAAGATCCAGAACCATTTATCATTTTTTTATTGAATTACTTTTGAACAGTAAGTTTAAATTTAATTGAGTTATTTGGTAAGTTTAAATTTTTTTTTTTTTTAATTATACAGTTTTTTATTTTTGGTATTAAAACATTAAAACAGATTTACTTTTCATCTTAAATATGAATAGTCCAGATGTGCTGAATAGTGCCGTTAGTTACTATTGTTCGATATTAGTTACAGTTCTGTATTATGTAAAATATATACTCTATATACTCGCTAATAGTTTCCAATCTTTTTCTTAAAAACTTACAAGGCAAGCTGATCCTGTGTCAACTTTTATATTTAAATAAAAGTTTTAATAAGGAGATTAATCTTTATTACTTTTTATACGTTTGTATATGCTTGTGTTGATTCCTTAACGATTTTTTATTTGATTTACTATTTGTTTTATTTATTGACTTTAGTTTCACGCAAACTTTTATGGCTTTTCAATAAATATTTTATTTAATATAACTTATTCGATAAAAATGACTTTTGTTCATGAATATAATATTTGTTTATTTATTTTATAATATTTGCAGTTAACGTTTGCTTACATTTTTATTTATGTTTATTTTATTTTATTTTATTTAGTTACCTTAATTTATTTATTTAGATACTATAAATATTTATAGTATTAATGTTAAAGTATTTAAAGTATTTAAATACTAGCGGTAAGCATTTCCTTGCATTTCATATTTATAATTTGTTTATTTATTTAGATTTAGATTTAAAAAATTTATGTTTCCAGAGTTATGATTAATCATAAATCAGCTGTTGAACTGACAAAATTGTAGAGGTTTATATATCATATATACTATATATTATAAAGAAACTGCATTTGATTTTGTTTTCACATTTATTAACTTTTTCTTTTTTTTGCTCTTATAAATTAGTTCAGTAAAAATTATTTTATTAATTAAAACAAAAAAACTTTTAAGTTTATTTTCATGCTTTAAATAAAATTAAAAAAGCTTTATTACTTTTAACAATATCATTATTATAATATTTATTTAATATATATATATATATATATATATATATATATATATATATATATATATATATATATATATATATATATATATATATATATATATATATATATATATATATATATATATATATATATATATATAGAGAGAGAGAGAGAGAGAGAGAGAGAGAGAGATTGAGAGAGAACTTGATCCTGATTATTTTATCCTCAATTTTTATTTATTTTATATGTTTATTAATATGTTTTTTATTTTATATTTGATCTCTTAATAGATATTGTTTTAGGTACAACAAGGGGAAATCTTTATAATTGTTTTGATAATTTTTCTTTTAATTTTGTAAGCAAGATATTTATTTGTAATTTTTTTTAAATTTTAGATTAATTAAATAATTTTATTCTATTGTGCAATTTAGAGTAGTATAAAAAAAGATTTTGAATTATAAGAGAATTTGAATGAGTTTTAACAATATGTTTAATGAAAACTATGATGTTGAAGGGTTGGTTAGGCTAGATGAAGCTTTGCATTTACAAAATGATGTAAATGCTCTAAAGCATGAAAATAATCATCGTCGAAATGAAAGGAACAGACTTAGGTGAGATGAAATTAATCGTCAGCAAAATGAAAGAAATAGGTTTAATTGTGATGTAGTTAATCATCTCCAAAATGTAAGAAGAGCTTTTATACGAGCTGAAGATAATTTGAACCCAAATCAACATAAGTTGGTTAGGCGAGTTGAAAATAATCATATCCGAAATAAAAGATTAATTAATTATCTTAATTGTCTAAATTTAATTAATTAATTAATTTAATTAATTTAATTAATTTAATTAATTTAATTAATTTAATTAATTTAATTAATTTAATTAATTAATTAAATTAATTAACTTAATTAAATTAATTAACTATCTTAATTTAATTAATTGGCTTAACTGTTGCCAAAATGAAAGAAATGCTGCTAGACCTGGACAAATATAATCTATAGCAAGAAGTAATTCTATTCCAGATTGTA